AGGAGTTGAAGTCCACACAGCTTCAAGCTGCCACGGTTGAGAAACACTGATCTAACCCAACTGCCTTCTCTGTTTTTCTCCAACTGACTTTCCTCCATCAGCCCCCTCCTGCCAAGAGACAGAATTTAATGATGATCAGCCATTAAAGATAGAACTCATTCCTCCTGTGCTGTTTTCTTCATCAACATCACTTCTTGTCTCCAAACTACAGCAGTCTAACTGCCAAAAAAACAGGTAGTTCCAGTATGTACTTATTTATTTTTCCTCAGCACGGTTATGGCAGGATATGGGGCAGGTTATGGGGAGGAAGGTTTTTGTGCCTGACACAGCTGCCCTAATCCAACCCCACCTGGCTACTTTTAAAAAAGCATGAGATCCAGTCATAGCTTCTTGCACAGCATCTAGATGAGTCCTCAGGAGTCAGTTAAGATATGACATCCGTAGAAACAAGAAGCTGAAGGAAGTTTTAAAATTGTAGTGAATTTGGAAAGTATTTTCCTTTTAATAGCATTTTCTCTACTTTTATTTAACTTAAATATTTTATTTAATTAATTAAATTTAATATTTAATTTTATTTATTTAAATATTTAAGTGTATGGGGTGTATGGGATATCCAGGAAGGAGTAACACCTCTGATGGAGGGTCCTGCCATGCCCTTTCTAGGACTGCTCGTTCACCTTTGGTCCCCACCTGGTGCACAGCTCTCACCTGTGGCTCCAAGTAGCTGTAACGTGTGCAGCAGCCACACCCTGCTAAACCATCTCGGCAGATGGGCCAAACCAGGTGAGGGTAGTTGATGGGTCTTTGACTGTTGGTGAGATAGGGGACTTGTCTATCCCAGCGTGTGAAGGCTGGCCCTGGCAGATTGAGTGGAGGAGACTGATCAACAGTCCAACAGCAAGCCCAGCAGGTGTTGTGGAATGTTAAGAGCACAACAAAACACTTAGATGTCCTGGTCATCCACTGCAGCAGGAGAGGTCTCCAGCTGTAAAGGTTCTCTGTGCCACTGGATTAAGGTCCCTTATGCTGAGAGAGTGGGACTGCCTCTGTGCAACAGCTGTTCCACTTAAAACTCCATCACGCACAGATTTCTATTGTGCAATTCATCTTCATCTACAACTCATCTGCAAATCATCTCAGTCCAAACCTAATTTTTTGAGCCCTGCAGCCATGGGGGAGTGGTGAAGTAACAGGTGGAGATGACTGTTGGCAGTTGTAGTCACAAACCTGCACATGGATGGCCCTTGGACCAGTGGTCGTTCATCTCAGTATCTGGGCAGCAGAGATGTCCAGCAGCATCCAGGGTGACTGGGCAGCCCTTCTAAGATAGCACTGCCCACCCTCACATGAGGGAGGAGGTTAGAAAAATTAATGTATTGTCGAAGGCTTTCACGGCTGGCATACGATGGCTGGTGTGGGTCTTCCGGGC